ATATGGTATCGGAGCCGCCCACTATTGAAACTTGGAAAGAAAAACATAGTTCGAATTTCTGAAACATTATTAAAAAAAAAAAAAAAAAATCTTGTCCTCGAATCTTCCGTGCCCTTATTCCCATCAAAATTTCTGCAAATTCACTGTGTCCGTGAAGAATGTGGTGCCCATACCAATCTATTTCCTATTCCTTTGTCCATTTAATTTATTTTCCAGTCTAGTCATTGGCCATATAGAAGAAGCCAATCCAGAAACACCATTTTCACATTTATCACTTTTATATTTTACCACACACCAAGTTATTGTCACTGTTATTATTCACAATGAGTGAAGAGAATATTGGATCACCTGTATTAGGTCAATATGACACTATTTTCAATGCAGGCGTCATTTTAACTGAATCATATTATGATATTTAGTCCCAACTGATGGAGATGCATATATTCGTGATAAAAAGAAAGCCCTGCAAAAACGGATGATGGATATGAAAAATGGCATGCTGAAAATCAGACAGTGAAGTAGTTGTTGATGCCCATGACTCCAAACATTATGAAGTGTTGCTTACTTTTACCCACTGCCCATGAAATTTGGAGTGCTCTGTTGAAGTGTTAGATAATTGTCTCAAAAGTCAAAGTTGAAGGACTTCTATTACAAATAATAAAAGGTAATTATTTATCCTATAAATAGTGTATGTATTCCATTATTTTAGAATGTGACATGCGAGAGAAAAAGAAGACAAAGAAACTAGGCGGCTGGAACGACTGTTATATATATATAGCAGCTTATAGGGAACAAAAGGAGATTTGATTGCTAAATTCAATTGAAGCTGAATTATATTATGCTCACAGAAAGCCAACATGCAAACAGTGAGGACAGAGGCTAAAATTGGGAACTTGGTGGTTGAAATATAGTATATAGAGTCAACTATTGGGCTTGGAAAAAGAAAAGAGGCAGCCAATATTATAATTACACACGCACATGAAACAAGAATTGGATTACTGCTGGCTAGAGAATTTTCTTTGTAATACTTTGGATTGGATTGGATTGGTGAGTGAAAATATATATGATTGTAACAATTTTTCATATAGTGAAAATGTTTGACGGTCCGTTTAATTTGTGCGTTATATTCTTTATTTTTTCTTGTTTGCTAATATTATTCTGCACAACAAAAGATCCTTCGGGTTAAGTAGGAAAGGGGAATTGGTGTGAAATTTCCTAACTAGTGGNTATTTTTCTTGTTTGCTAATATTCTCCTGAATAATAAAAGATCATGTGAGTAAATAGAAATAAAGGGAATTGGCTAAAATTTCCTAACAAGTGGTATTAAAGAGTCAAGTGGTTCAAAGTATTGGAACAACAAAAAAATAAATCGTTGAGATATAACGTGGAGAAATTTGACGGGAGAATTAATTTTGGCTTATAGCAAGTATAGGTTAGGGATTTATTGATTCAAGTTGGACTGCACAAGGCTTTGAAAAGAAAACCAACCCAGAGCTTTGGCAAAAAAGCTGAATCAAGTATGAGCGATGAGAATTGAGAGGAATTGGATTTGAAACCTACAAGCACGATACGTCTCTGTCTGGCTAAAAAATTTCTTGCAAATATTCTTAGGATATCTGCTGCAAAGGAACTATGGGAGAAGTTAGAAGAACTATATCAAACGAAGAGTCTCTCAAATAGGTTGTACCCGAAGAAGCAATTTCATTCATTGCGCATGGAGGCAGGTACAAAAATCTCAGACCATTTGAATGCTTTCAATGGGATTGTTTCAGAACTGGAGCCTATTGGAGTGGATAGATGATGAGGATAAGGCACTACGTCTCATCTGGTATCTTCCATCTACCTATGAACATATCAAGCCAATTTTGATGTATGGAATGAAACCGTGAGTTTCGCATAAGTGACAAGCAAATTGATCTCAGGAGAAAGAAGATTAGGGGGATAGAATATTCCTTCTGATAATGCACTGCTTGTGATTGAAAAGGGGAAGATGGGCAACTCCATGAGGAAGAAAACAACTTGTTGGAACTACGGTCAGACAAGTCACGTAAAGAGAAATTGTCCAAAAAGTAGAGTAGAGTCGGCTAACTGCTTGGGTCAAAAAATGAGTCTTTCCTGGCGGAGGAGTACATGCTTGTGGTGCTGTAAAGTAAGATGTGAACATCCTAATGGCATGTCGCCAGTTGTCATGATACATGATGTGTTCTTGCTGGCATGGGTCAGCATATCTGCACATAGCATTGACTAGCATTTAATGCAAGGTGTGTAGGTGTGCGGTGGTGTTGTTGTGTCGATGATTGATGTACTCTATGGGAAAGTCAGTGGGAGAGTTTTACCATAACTATCAACGGGGTTGTTTCGACATGTAGCCAATGAAATGCTCGGAGTTTGTGGATAATTCTGAGTGTTATACTCAGATGGTGGAGTATGGGACCGTTAAAGTGTGTCAAAGGCTTACCTGTTTTTCTAAAGTGTTGTGATTAAAAGTAGAAGATGTGATAAGATTTTGACTCGTTTTCGGTAAGGTGGAGATTGTTAGGTAATTATCTCAAAAGTCAAAGTTAGAGGACTTCTACTGCAAATAATAAAAGGTAATTATTGATCCTATAAATAATGGATGTATTCCATTATTTTAGGGTATGACTTGTGAGAGGAAAAAAAAGACAAAGAAAATAGGCGGCTGGAACGACTGTGGTGTTGAGTATGTATATATATATAATTGGCAGCATCTTCTAGGGAACAAAAGGAGATTTGGCTGCTAAATTCAATTGAGGCTGAATTATATTATACTCACAGAAAACCGACACGTAAACAGTGAAGACAGAGGCTAAAATTGGGAATTTGGTGGTTGAAATATAGTATATAAAGTCAACTATTGCGGCTTGGGAAAAGAAAAGAGGCAGCCGATATTATAATCACACGCACAGGAGACAAGAATTGGATTGCTGCTAGCTAGAGAATTTTCTTTGTAATAATTTGGAGCCTAGGTGCGAAGCGGGATGAAAACGCCTCGCTTTGAGGTTAAGCGGTAATTAAGTGGTCAACGTCAATATTTACCGCTTCAAGCGCGCCTAGGCGCGCTTTCTCCTTAAAGGCCAATTTTCCCCACTTTTTAAATATAACTCATAGCCCAAATGAGCGACCCAAACTAAGTTGCCCAGAGCCCAAACAAGAATATTGATATAAGCATAACCCACACCCAAAGAAAAAATTCTTCTTCGACTTAAAAAAAAAAACCCCCTCCTCTCCCATTGCAAGAATTGAGAAGATGGAACTCGAAGGCAAG